AAGACCCTGTGTCCAAAAAAAAAAAAAAAAAAAAAAATGAGGAAGAAGAGGAGGAGGAGGAAGAAATAAATTTCTATGGTTGAATGCAAGTTTATTGAGTCAAGTTAAAGAACAGGATTCAGAGAAATAGACTTAAACGTTTTCATGAAAAAAATCATGAGAGATGCTGCTCCAAATGGTTCAGGTATTTCTGGTGGAAGAGGTCATTCCTGACAGTCAAGACATATTTTACTTGATATTGAATCAGCCAAAAATAAGATGGTCCTTGTGGACCCTAACCATGTCACAGGACAGCACTGACTTGGGTGGTGGCTTTTCCACAGGGAGCCCAACTGGCAGAGTGTAGGGTCTGGAAATGCCACGATTGCCACAGGGCCCTTCCTGTTCAGGGTAACTCTTACTATCCATATGCTATGCCTCCTACCACTTACTCTCTCTCCCTTCCATCACTCATCCTAAGAAAAGCCTCCTGGCAACTGGAAAGGACACTGGTTTCCCTCCACCTTCCCCTCACTCAGAAGAACAGAACGCAGACCCCCAAGCACTGCACCGAAGGGCAGTAAAACCAACGCATGAGGGTCCAGCCTAGGGGCAGAGCACTGGACCTTCCACATGAGGCCTCTACCCTCAGCTGCTCCAAGAAGGTGAAACACAAAGTGATCTGTGTGCATCTGCGCACATGGGGAGGGCGGAGCTGGTCCACCCAGACACATTTCCTGGGAAGTCCATCTAGACATGTAAGCAGGAGGGTGAGCGGGAGGCAGTCTTGGTTCAGTTGTAGATGAGCTGCCAAAATTTAAGGAGATAGCCAGAGAAGGCATAGGCAGCAGAATTTTGGAAACAAACATCCAGGAAAAAAAGAGAGAGACCACGGGAGAAAAATAGCAGCACACAGATCTCCAAAATGGGAGCCGTCTACCCAGGACACCTGATGTCAAGGATTATGTTAGTCTAGATCCCCTCAGCCACCCCACACACACTCTGCCAGGCCCCCAAAGAGGAGTAGGTGGCAGTTGCTGGTGCAGCCACCCTTGAGCCTCCAGCACTGCCCACGACCACGGGGACTGGTGTCCCACAGTCCTGCAGAGCAGCACCGAGAGGGTCAAAGAGGAGAAAGCTGTCCCCGCAACTGGCCCTTTGTCCCTGGGGACTGCAGTGCATCTGACTCAGAAACGTGCACCCGACGATGAGCATTCCGTTCACTGTGAGATTTTGTCCCCAGTAAGAACTTTGGAAAAAGTCTTTCAGTGGCTTTATAGAAAATTGTAATTGAAGGGGAGTAAGCCAGGGGTTTTGATACATTTCCTCTTGGTTCTGTCCTTTATGCAGCAGCTTGTAATAATCCCCTTTCATCCTCTTTTTCCCTGCACTGTTCTAATGGGCTGGGCACCCCACATCTCTCATCATAGTCTGTCGACCTCCTTCTGTTAAGAGAGAGAAGAGAGAAAAGAGAAACATGTACAGAAAAGAGAGAGGTGCTAGCAATTCCACACTAGGTTTCATAGATGGATCTCTGGCTTTTGAATAACTCACACAGCAAACTATTTTCTAAGAACATGGTGTTTTATAAATAGGCATCAATTAATCTGTTGTATGAATGAATGAAGAACAAACAGATGCCTGCACAGGAGATAGATACCTTTTGTCTGTGCTTCCTAAAATACTTTCTGCTTTGGACCTGTGTATAAAAATGTATTTTATATATTTTCGTCAGTCACCATAATTTAGGTGTTTGCTTGAATGCATTTTAAAACCTATTGTGGTGCCAATTTGTAGTCTCCATTTAAAGTGAATTATTCTTTGCATCAACAAATCACAAGAGAAGTGGTGGTTATTTTCATTTGGTTATAGCTGTCTGGGGGCAAACATGCAAAAGTAATTTTACTTGTTATGACTGTATGCCTGTAGTGTTTACAGGCATAATATACAATCAAACACAGGAAGAACGAAGTTCTGTACTACGCAGGAAGCCCTCCCTGCATTTATATAATTATCGAGCCTCAGAAGATGTTCATGTTGATTCAAAGATTGAGGAAAACAGCTTCCTCTCTCAGAACTCTCTCTCTGCATACATTGTAGGTAAAAGTATCTTTTTCTTCAGCTTTTGGATATTCTTTAACTTTGGCCAGGGTGGTGGCTCACGCTTGTAATCCCAGCACTTTGGGAGGCCGAGGAGGGTAGATCAGAAGGTCAGGAGTTCGAGACCAGTCTGTCCAATATGGTGAAACCCCATTTCTACTAAAAAATAGAAAAGATTGTCTGGGTGTGGTGGTACAGCCCTGTAGTCCCAACTGCTCAGGAGGCTGAGGCAGGAGAATGGCTTGAACCCCGGAGGTGGAGGTTGCAGTGAGCCGAGATTGTGTCACTGCACTCCAGCCTAGGTGACAGAGTGAGACTTTGTCTCAAATAGACAGAGTGTCACTCTGTCACCATTTTGGCAAGGTGGTTCAACTGGACCAAATTAGCTCAGGGTGAAACACTGTCATATTTATTTGAATATTCAAAGTTAAAGAATATATTCAAATAAATGTGAGTGTTTCACCCTGAGCTAATTTGGTCCAATCAAACCACCTTTGCCAAAATGGCTTTTATTTTCCCCATTTTAGGAGGCACCCTGGTTTGTTATGAAGCCTTCCCCTCCGCTGTCTTGATGTCTGTGCTCAGGGGTGGCTGAATACAGTCACAGCTTTGTCACTGAAGCAAATGAAAATGTAAATACTGGCAGTCTTTTTGAGGAAAATATTGCACTACCATCAAAAAACAAACGTATTTGCTTTCTTCGTGACACTCGAGACCAGCTTAAATGCTATTTCTTTTCATTTCGAATGTTCTAGAATTGAGCAAAGCCAATGTTCTTTAAACAAGGCCTATGTGATGACAGATCATTTGATATACGACTCCATTTTTAAAATATCCGTAACTCTCAAAATATTTTGCACAAGGAACCTGTTTCTGCTTGGAAGCGTTGGGACAGGGTGCAGTGACCCCTATGAGTCCCAGCATCCCCACAGTGAGAAGGAGCTTCCTTGATGGGCGCAGAGCACAGGCTTTGGAGTCTGAAACAGCTGGACTCATCCCTCCCTGCCACTTAGCTCCTGTGACACTCGGGGGAAGTCACCGCTCTGCTGGGATTCAGCTTCCATCTCTGTAAAAGGGGGATTAGCAGTGCCTCCTACACAGGGTGGTGACAGCAATTAAATGGGGAAAGCGTTGAGCAGAGTCACTGGCACGTACCAGGTACGGAAATGTACGAGGTACAGCTCTCACGCTTCTCTTGCAGTTGTTTATAAATAGGTCTTATTTATTGCTGGGGATGTATTCTTAGCACACACTTCATTCATTCATTTGAAAATGCATTTGTTGGGTGCTTACAGCAGGATAGTGAAAACATACTTAGAATAAATAACATACTCAGAATAAATAAATGCAGGTGAATATAAAGACATTCTGTTTCATTAGTTGCATTGACCTTAAACCTCCTCAGAGAACAGTGGGTTAGGGAGATGAGAGATGGCAGTGGGGAGTGGGGGCAAATGATGAGTTGCATTTTTGTAAAAACTGTGTAAGTATTGTTGTATACTGTTGTGATTTTTTTTAATGGACCCAAATGAGTATGTATTTATTTGCTATGGAGTACTTGAAATCTTTATTTATAGACATTGAGAATCCAGCCAGGCCAGGCACAGTGGCCCACTGTAATCCCAGCATTTTGGGAGGCTGAGGCAGGAGGATTGCTTGAGCCCAGGAGTCCAAGACCAGTGTAGGCAACATGGTGAGACTTCATCTCTACAAAAAATAAAAGTATTCCCTGGGAATGGTTGTGCATGCCTGTAGTCCCAGAAGTTGGGGGTGAGGGGTGGCTCTGGAGAGGATTGCTTAAGCCCAGGGAGGTCAGGGCTCCAGTGATCCATGATTTCCACGATTATGCCACTGCACTCTGGGCAACAGAGCAAGACTCTGTTTTGAACAAAAAAAAAAAAAGAAAGAAAGAAAAGAAAAGAAAAAACAAGAAGAATTGAATAGAAGAATCCACCCCCAAACATATCACGGTAAGACATCTATTGCTCTAAACACTGGGGCCAGACAGCTCTATGTTCCTGCTTTCGTTTTCAGGTTAAATAAATAAATAAATAAATAAAGGCCTACACCACGGAGCGGACTTGCCCAGAGTCTGATTTCAACTCCAGTCCAGGGCTGTCCTCAGCATCCAGCACACGCTTCCCTGACTTTGCACAAAGGGCTCGCTTTAGACAGGGACCGGATTACAGATTCTGCCACTTTACCCTGGAATTACTCTCCACACACACTGGTCTCTCTACAGGATGCAGCTCTCTGCCCCCATGTCGCCACCCTTGAAGGACTGACTGACTCCCTCGGCTTGTGCCAGTGCCTGCTGCCACCATGGGGCCCGCGGGGAGCCTGCTGGGCAGCGGACAGATGCAGATCGCCCTGTGGGGAAGTCTGGCCGCTGTAGCCATTTTCTTCCTCATCGCCTTCCTCATATTCCTGTGCTCTAGTTGTGACAGGTGAGAACCAGAGTGTGTATACTGGTGCCTAAACAAATATATCCCCTGTATCCAGAAGCATTTATGTGAAAAGCCTGTTAGGAATTGAATCCACTACAGATCCATCACAGAAACCTGTGTGTTAGGTTTAACTCACTTCTCCCTGCTGCAAAGCATCCCAGGACATTCTTCATTCACTTAAGGAAAACCCATATTTGATTTTGCTGGGGAGCAACTAGAAAAGCCCTTATATTTTAAACTTCCCAGAATGAAAGTCGTGCTGTTCTTTTGAGCACACGCTTGTCAAAATGGATTTTGTCTTTTGTCATCAGTGGGCATTTTGAAATCTTGTGTGGCATGCATCTTTTTGCTATCATCCCGTAGAAGTCACTGAGAATGTTTGCTGCTACGTGGCTTCAGAGGGATTGTTTATGATTTAAAATGTGTGGTGTAGACCTTCAGTTTCTTAAGAAACAGACTAGCCAGGCACAGTAGCTCACACCTATAATCCCAGCACTTTGGGAGGCTGAGGCCGGTGGATCCACAAGGTCAGGAGTTCACGACCAGACTGGCCAAGATGGTCATGGCCAAGAAACCATGTCTCTACTGAAAATACAAAAATTAGCCGGGCTTGGTGGCAGGCGCCTGTAATCTCAGCTACTTAGGAGGCTGAGGCAGAGAATTGCTTGAACCCGGGAGTCAGACGTTGCATGGAGCCAAGATCGGACCACTGCACTCCAGCCTGGGCAGCAGAGTAAGACTCTGTTTCAAAAAAAAAAAGAAACACATTAATTTTCCCAGGAGAGAAACATGCTGTATGTTAAATAATCATCAGTGTCATTTTTTGAGTTGTACTTCTCTCTCTCTCTCCTCTGTCTCATATAAAATGTCAGCTCCCCCCAAAAGAGAAACCTTTGCTCAGAGAGAAGTTCTTTCTAACCAGGAGTGATTTTTCAGGACATCCTGGAACTGTCATAAAGCACGCAACCTTCTGATGGGCGGGATGCCACCAGAGGCCCGTGCAGACCAGCTGACCATCAGCCAGCCCTGTGTCCAAACCCTCCCTCCACCGTGGAAGCAACTCCAGGGGTGTCACTTAAAATTGTGAAATGGCTTCCTACCCTAAAATCTGTCAGGAGGAGAAAATCCAAGACTCTCTGAACCCAGCCAGCCTCCTAATCCCTGCCCAGGTGGGACCCGGACCTCTGTGGCTGTAACAAGAGTCTGAGTCGCTGGGAAGATGAATAAAAAGAGGCTGCAGAGCCCGGGCTCCCCTGCAGTTACTCATATTCCCACTAGGTGTCACCCTTGTTTTATAGAGAACGTGGATGAGCTGCCTATTCTCTACAACTGATGGCCTTTTTTAGACTGTCCCGAGTAAAAACAAATTCTATTTTTACTTGACAGACTTTCCCATAGACTGGAAGTACATATGACTCATCCTGAGAGCATGTACCCTTCCCGGTGTGCCAAAATTTGTATTTTTTTTATTTTCTCCATCCCACTGCAGTGTGTGACTTTGCAGAGACTCATACTTGTTTTATCTTTTTTTAAAGATAATTTCTTTAAAAAAAGCGGGGGGGGGATTGAGGGGGCATAACTTGTTCTGCTAGTTTAGGTATAAACAGTTTCTACTCAGGCTCAGGCCTCGGTCCTCTCTTCGTGAACTTGTATGTTTTTTCCTGGAAGAAGGGTTCCCAGGGGAGGTGGACAGTCCCTAGCTGAGGCTTGACCTCCTCTTAACCAACACCTGCAAATCGGCCATTAAGCCGCTTTCTGGTTTTGTCTTCGTTGACAAAATAAACATCGTTCTTAAGAGAGATTTAAAAGCTGATAAGAATTGGGCCAGTATGCATTTGATTTTAGGGGGGCACATTTGACATTACAGCATTTCACTCTTCATTTCAGGGAAAAGAAGCCGCGACAGCCCAGTGGGGACCACGAGAACCTGATGAACGTGGTGAGCCCACTCATGTCTGTCTGCCTGTCAGTCCGTGCCTGCTCGAAACATCAGCTCCTTGTCTCAGTGTGCTCCCACGTGCTTGCAACCGAGTAGAACCCACAGAGAGAGCTAAGCCTGAGTTAAACCATGGCCCCCTCCGCCGCATCCTCTTTCTGTAGGTTTGTGGCTGCCAGGCTGCAGGCCCGTGCAGTTCCCCCGCGTTCGCTGGGAGAGCTTCCGAAATGGATGCAGTAGTGCTGCCACTGGAATCCTTAGATGGCTCCAACCTACTGCAGGGATGTGACTTTTTGCCTCTATTAATTTGTTAGGGCTGTCATAACCAAGGACCGCAAACTGATTGGCTGAAATAACAAGTTTGTTTCTCAGTTCCAGAGGCCAGAAGTCCAAAAATCAAGGTGTTGGCAGGATTGGTTGCTTCTGGGGGAGAGTCTGTTGCAGGCCTCTCCTGGCTTCTGGTGGTTTGCTGTGGCTTGCTTTGCAGAGGCACCACCCCAGTCTCTGCCTTCTCTTCCTGGTGGCCTCCCTCTGTGTTTCACATCACCTTCCCTCTATGCCTGGCTGGCTGTGTCCAAGTTTCCCCGTTTTAGAAAGACACGAGGCATATTGGACTAGGGCCCGCCCTCCTCTAGCACGACCTCACATTAACCAGCTGCATCTGCAATGACCCTGTTTCCAAATGAGACACATTCTCAGGTGCTGGGGGTTAGGACTGGGACATGAATTTTAGAGAGACACAGTTCAACCCATAACAACAGGTCATGAAGCTGGCGGGAGCCTGGGTCCCACAGCACCCTAGGTATAGCCTGGCCCTGCTGGCGTTTTCCCAGCTCTCAGTATCCTGCAGTGTCCTGATGATCCCGAGGCCCTGAGGGATCCACCATAGTGAGGAACAGCCTGAGAATCCTGCCTTGTCTTCTCTGACCCAGGGCCGTGCTTTTGAAGGGCTGAGCAATCTGGGTCCTGGGGCAGTGCTAAGACAGAAGGTGCTTCTTGTTCAGGACATTTTTCAAGGTCTAGCAAAAACTGGTTGGGAGGAGGGGGTGCAAAAAAGGAAGCATGGATGAGCCAAGGTCTGGTGTAAAACCCGCAGCCAGCAGACATATGCAGAGAGGACCCGGGGGCACCTCCAGTCTAGGCTTCCTGACCTGCCAATTCTCAGGACTCCTCTGGCCCAAGCAGGCAGGAAGTTGTCAGGACTCCCTGTTCCTCCTGGGACCCCCAGGATTTTCCTTCCCTCCCCTCCATGTGCACACGCCCACCTCACCCTTCACCACTGTCCTGGGCCCTCACTGCCGCTCCTACCTTTACTCTTTTTCTCACCCAGTTCCCGTCTCTGGTTGTCCATGTTGTCCCCACTTCTCATCTGTGCCCAGCGCCTCTGCTCTGCCTGGTGATTGCTGCTGTGGTGGCCTCAGCAGGGACGGTGGGAGGGATGGAGGGAATGCCCTACAGTTGCTTCTCCCCATGCAGACTCCAGGCCCCTGCCTTTCCTCACTCCACCATCCTCCCGGTGCCGGTTGGCTGGTGAGGTGGGGTGGGCTGGGGAAGAGCTCCCACCACCATTCCTCACTTCTTTCTAGAGCAGGGGTTCTGGGATGTGGCCTGGACCACTGCCAGAAGCAGCAGCACCTGGGAGCTCCTTAGAGGTGTGAATTCTCCTGGGGTGGGGCCCAGTGAAAGGCTAACAAGGCGATCGCCCCAGGTCATCCTGTTGTAAGCCCAAGTGTGAGAGCCACTGGCCTATAGCATGGGTTCCTGCTGTTCTGCTGGAGGTCCAAGGTCGGCACAGCCCTGGCTGAGACAGGAAGAGAGCGGCAGGTGGATAAAAGGAAAAAGCTGGCTCCCCACTCCCACGCCTTCTTCCTCATCCGCCATATAATTCATTACCGCCCAAACCCATAGCCTCGCTTATTTGGGTGTGAATGTCTGTGAGTCAGCGTGCACACACACAGGGACACATGCTTTCACAGTCACTGGCACCCATGTACACACGCTCGCCCACCCAGCTCTCTTTAAGAGCTTCTCACCTCCTAGATCTTATCCCTCTGGTGGATTCTTCATCTCATAGAAGCAGAGATTAGGAATAGTAGTTAGAATCTAGATTATGATAACTTCAGCTGTGATCGATTATGCTGTTGTGGGCCCACCTGGGAGCCTTCCTCCCTCACACCCATGCCTGCCCATTTATCACATCATTTTTGGGATATTAGCACCTGCATTGCAAGTTCCTGGCAACCTAACACAGTAACCCATCTCACTGAGGGCCGATCAGATATGAATGAGCTGCACTGGATTGAAACAGCTGACTCCCAGTACACTTTTGGATCATGACACGGCATGAACTATCTGCTGTCTATTATTGGCTTCCAGTCAATAGAGAATTTGTGAGGCCAACTAGCAAAGGTTCATGTGCTGTTTACATCACAACTTTCCTGGTAGAATCCTGGAGCATGACGCCACCTCTTGGAACACGCAGGCCATGAAAAGGACAAGGAGGAAATCACATTCGCAGTGATTCAGACTGCAACCTGGGACAAGTTGGGTATTTTAAGAAATACTCGAACTACCAACTTGCTTTCTGACTACTCTTAGCTATAGCTGAGCCTGGCATATTGTTCTGGGTAATATCTACACATTCTATCCCTGCCGAAAACCAACTGTTGATGCCATTCTTCCCACCAAATGTCCTAAGTTTATTTGTGAGAATAAGATTAGCAGAGCTGGGCACAGTGGCTCATGCCTGTATTCCCAGCACTTTGGGAGGCTGAGGTGGGCACATCACTTGAAGCCAGGAGTTTAAGACCAGCCTGAGCAGCACAGCAAGATCCCATCTCTTAAAGTTCGTTTCAGATTGGCCAAGTGTAGTGGCACATACCTGTAGTCCCACCTATTCCAGAGGCTGAGGCAGGAGGATCTCTTGGGCCCAGGAGTTTGAGGTTTCAGTGAACTACAATCATGCCACTGCACTCCAGCCTGGGCAACAAAGTGAGACCTCATCTATACAAAAAAAAAAAAAAAAATGGTTTGCAGAGCTAATTTTCAGCATATTATTTCTGTGAACCTAGAAGCCAGAGGCTTGGCTGGTTCTAAAATAGTTTCAGAAGTCAATAACATTATCTATCTTTGACCAGATTTAAGTCTGTTCCCTTCACATGACAAAGGGTGATGCCTTTCCACATTTCTCATGGCATGGCACACCGTTACCAGTAATGATTTACAACACCTGTGTTGTAAGGATGAGGCTGCTGTAGTCTTTTTCAACCAGTCCCCTCCCTGCCTTGAGCTAAGGGAACTGATAACTCACAACCTGCCTGCAGCCCTGTGTAGATCACTAGGCAGGAAGCTCTGCACATAGCCTTGGAAGATTCCCCGTGCTCCTAAGATTCTGGGACAACACTGTCTACTAGAGCTTTCCGCAGTGCTGGAAGTGTTCTGTGTCTCCTATTGGATATGGTATCCACTGGCCACATGTGGCTATTGAGTGCTTGAAATGTGACGAGTCAACAAGGAACTCAGTTGAGTTTCTTTTATTTTACTTAATTTAAATCTAAAAACAGTAGCTCCCCTCAATCTGTGGTTTTGATTTCTATAGTTTCAGTTACCTACCGGCAACCACAATCCAAAAATAGGTGAGAACCATGCAAGATATTTTGAGAGCACATAATAAGTTTTGTTACAATATAAATATAGTTATTCTGTTTTATTACCAGTTGTTACTGCTAAATCTCTTACTGTGCTTAACTTGTAAATTAAACTTCATTGTAGGTATAATATATATGGATAGGAAAAGACATAGTTTGTGTGGGGTTCAGTACGACTCATGGTTTCAGGCATCCACTGGGGGTCTTGAAATGTGTTCTCTGTTTACACCATGCTTTCACCAGAGGTAGGAGGACATCCTGTTAACCCCTGTTTGCTGATAAGGAAACTGGGTGAGGGGACTACTGGAGGAGATTCTGTTTTCTGTTTCTGCTGTTTTAATTTTTTTTAAAGCCTCGGATCTTCTCCTCTCCTCTGCAGTCCCAATTCTTAGCGATGTGATGCATGTGTTGTTATTGTTGTTGTTTTTCAGCCTTCAGACAAAGAGATGTTCAGCCGCTCAGTTACTAGCCTGGCAACAGATGCCCCTGTCAGCAGTGAGCAGAATGGGGCACTCACCAATGGGGACAGTAAGTTCTGCAAAAATACCAGCTTTCGGCACGGGCCTCATCACCTGTGAAAGTCCAAGGTTTCAAAATGTGTAGCTCAAAAAGTAGGAAATGTGTTGTTGCCCACTGTTAGTATTACTAGCAGTTTTAGCAGAACACCTCATTTGGGTGAATAATACTACTTATTCGTACACTTCTGCGTGCCAGGCATTGTTCTAATACTTGTAGGTATGCTCATTCCTTTACTCTAACCCCATGATATTACTGCTGTTGATAATAATATCAGTACCTTTTAAGATAGCTGTTATTACTATTCACAATTTAAAGGTGACAAAACTGGGCAGATTGCTACTGTAACAATATTACCACAAGCCTCATGCCTTAAAATAACAAAATGTGCTTGCAATTCCAGAGGTCAGGAGTCTGAAATGGGTCTCACTAGGCTAAAATCAGGGCATCATTAGACCTGCAGTCCTTCCTGAAGCCTCAAGGAGAATCCATTGGCCTTTCCCTCATTCACATCCTTCTCTGACCCTCCCCCTCCCTCTTCACTTATAGGGACCCCTGTGATTACACTGGGCCACCTGGATCATCTGACTTCCCTCTCATCCCAGAGTCATCTAATTAGCAGCCTTCTACCTGTAACCCTAGTCCCTCCATACCCCCATATAACATAACACATTCACAGGTTCCAGTAATTAGGAGGCAGATATTTTTCGGGGTGGTTCTGCCTTCCACAGAAATGTTGCTAATTTGCCTGATATCATAGAGTCAGTGGGCTGAGGATCTGTCATTGGAACCAGGCAGTCTGAGCCCTGGGCACATACTCAGCCACTCTGCATAACATGTACGTCATGCATTGTATACTCTTGCTGATGGAAAGAGCAGCTACATTTGCTTCACACTTTAGAGTTTACACCATGCTTTCACCTGAGGTAGGAGGGCATCCTGTTACCCCTGTTTACCTATAAGGAAATGGTGGGGTAGTCAGGACACCAGTGCCTGTTCTCTGTCCACCATGATGTAGACAGCTAGAACCAGAGAGCAAAAGTTCACCCCACCATGATGATCAGGGATTCTGAACACACATGAGTGTTGGTAAGTTCAGAAGGATTGGGGGATGCATTGTCATTTCTTCATGTACCCCTTGGAGACACTTTTCCTTTTTTTTTTTTTTTGAGATAGAGTCTTGCTCTGTTGCCAGGCTGGAGTGCAGTGGCACGATCTTGGCTCACTACAACCTCCACCTCCCAGGTTCAAGTGATTCCCCTGCCTCAGCCTCCTGAGTAGCTGGGACTACAGGTGTACAGCACCACGCCTGGCCAATTTTTTATATTTCAGTAGAGATGGGGTTTCACCATGTTGGCCAGGATGGTCTCAATCTTCTGACCTCATGATCCGCCCACGTCGGCCTCCCAAAGTGCTGAGATTAAAGGGGTGAGCCACCACGCCCAGCCCAGAGACATTATTTCTAATTCCCCCAAAGTGAGACACTAATGGAATAACTTGCTTGCTTTGTGTCCGCATCCTAAGGGCAGGGCTTTCTGTTGCATTGAACGATGTGTCTGCACACCCTGCACCACCCCTGGTACATGGCAGGCACTCACAACATAGTTGACAAAGGGACAGCTGAATGGCTCCACACTGCAGCATATCTGTGGCTGGCCAAGAATCTCACATTTGGTTTTTTCCAATTTGAGGTAGGAATCTTGCTGGCAGGGTGAGATGGAAGAAGGGTATGAAGTGCCAGTCCTTTTGTGTTAATGGCTGAAGAGTGGTGTTTGCCCTGTGATTTCCATTATGTCTGCCAAGCAAAAGTGATCTGTGTAAAAGGGGTAGCTACCAGTAGTTCCCTCCACACAGGCAGGGGCCAGTGGGGCTGGGGAGTGTGGTCATTGCATGTGCCCCATTTCTGGAGTCCAGCATCCCATAGTTTGGCTGCATCAACCTGGTCACCTTCTAGTCACATTAGACACTGCCTACAAGACTCTCATCAGGAGTAGCATTAACTGAGGAAAGTAACTGTGAACTACATTTATACCCAAGATAACTTACCAAATATTATATTGTGAGAGATATAATGGACAGCTTTATTTTAAGCCATGATTAAAGTAGGATACTGACGGTCATAACAACTATAATTTGTACCAAAGACTTAAAAGAATGCAACTTGATTTAACCTAACTTTATATTACATGATTCTCAGTAGTGATTATTGAAAGACTTGCCTTTCTCCACTTTTAATATGTCTGCTTGCTTTAGTTCTTTCAGAGGACAGTACTCTGACCTGCATGCAGCATTACGAGGAAGTCCAGACGTCGGCTTCAGATCTGCTGGATTCCCAGGACAGCACAGGGAAGCCAAAATGTCATCAGAGTCGGGAGCTGCCCAGGATCCCTCCTGAGAGTGCAGTGGATAGCATGCTCACGGCGAGAAGTGTGGACGGGGACCAGGGGCTGGGGACAGAAGGGCCCTATGAAGTGCTCAAGGACAGCTCCTCCCAAGAAAACATGGTGGAGGACTGCTTGTATGAAACTGTGAAAGAGATCAAGGAGGTGGCTGCAGCTGCACACCTGGAGAAAGGCCACAGTGGCAAGGCGAAGTCTACTTCTGCCTCGAAAGAGCTCCCAGCGCCCCAGACTGAAGGTAAAGCTGAGTTTGCTGAATATGCCTCGGTGGACAGAAACAAAAAATGTCGCCAAAGTGTTAACGCAGAGAGTATTCTTGGAAATTCATATGATCCAGAAGAGGAGGCCCCACCACCGGTCCCGGTGAAGCTTCTGGACGAGAATGAAAACCTTCAGGAGAAAGAAGAGGGAGAGGCAGAAGAGAATGCCACAGACAGGACCAGTGAAACTAACAAGGTGAGTGCTGGCGTTTTTGTTTTGCCTTTGTGGGCTCCTGTCCTGCTTAGGAATCTAGCTGGTCCTGGGTTGTTCTGGGAAATATCTGCAAACACTTTCCAGTTTGTTGAACGATGAGAGCTGTTTTCATGGAAGCTGTGTTTGGCTTTTTCCCCTTCCAAGTAATAAAATACCAAAAACTTGCATTTATCACATATTTCTCTCTCAGCACCTTACTTGGATATTTTCGCATTTTTTCCATCATGTCTAATTAGGGCCAAGTCTCATTTGCTTCATTTTGAAATCCAGGAGTTAAATAGAGAGACTGGACTCATTGCCCACAGATCTTACCTATTCTGCTTGTTGACTACCTCAGCAGCATGGTGACCTTTACCCTTCCAGGATCCCCAAAATCAGCATGCATAGCAATAGGCACCACGAGAACCAACTCGCAGGCACCCATGGTTATGTCTGATTGTATAAACTTTCATATAAATCAATAGAAGATCTTATTTTGTGACCATTTCTAAACTATAGCCTGTACTTCCTAAATTTAGATATTCAACAAATCTCTAAAATGCATTAGCAATCCACAGCCTTCTGTGCGCATCTGTTAGCTTGATATCTGTGCTGCAGTGAAGTTCACATCCCTAGTTGTCAAAATCTCTTTGGGATTTAACTAGCCCCATCTACTTCAGGCAACTAATATTCTAATTTCTATTTTCTACACAGAAAAAGAGCAAGGTCCTCTCTTCTATTTAGATTTTAGTAGATGCAAGTAGCAGGTTAGCCAGTCACTAGTAGCCTTAAAAACCTTCCGTAGTTCATGGACAGAGGTGAATACTCTGTTTGTATAGTTAGACCAAGAAAGTCGTTCTTTGTGCTGTTCTCTGAATGGATTTCAACTTTTTGTATTATCCATGAAATCAGCTGTTGAGAGCACCACTAAAAGGGTTTATGAACATGTTCATAAAATGCAAAAATGCAGTCCAATTTTTTGCCCTTCATATAACCAAAGACAATAAACCTGATGTGAAGTTCATGCTGCCTAAACCAGATTAAGCTTTTTACTTACAAGCATTAGAAAGATACGAAGATGAGTTGTCTAACCATTGCTCATAAACAGTTCTCCCAGATTTCACATTAGAAACTGGAAATACTCATCTGGAAACAAAATTCTCTTTCCACAATATAGTAAAAAATGTGTAATCCATCATCTTTATATAAACAACCCCAATTTTAAATGAGTTGAGAGTTTGAAGTATTTAATATTCATTCATTTATTTAACAAAAGATCTTAATGAGCACCTGCTGTGTGCCACACAGTCTTCTAGGTGCTGGAAACAAATCAGGTATATGAACAGAATCCCTGCTCTGTGGAACTTATAATGGGAAGAGACAGACATAAAATTTAAAGTTTATAAGAGAAAAAAAATAGAACTGAATAAGAAGGACTGAGAAAACAGGTAGGGAGTACAGTTTTGGATAGAGTGGTCAGGGTCTGCCCAGCTATAAAGGCGACAGTGACATCTGAGTTAAGGAGGCGAGGAAGTGAGGTTTGTGCTTTTGTGGAAAGAGCACATGAAGCAGAGGGGATGACCAGTGTGAGGCCCCTGAGGCTACAGCTTGCCTGGCTTTTAAAGGGAAAAAGAAGGGGACTGGTGTGGCTGGAGAGGGAAGAGCAAGGACAGCAGTGGGGAGAAAGGGAACCAGGGCTCGATCCTGGATGGCCTTGGCTTATAGTCTGAACAGTAATAATGTCACTAGAGTTCTGAGCAGCAGAATGGCACAACCTGGCCTATGTTTTCAAAGGATCCCTCTGCCTCCAGTTTTGAAATAGACTATAAAGGGTGGAAGTGAGAAGACCAATTGGGTGGCGACGCTAATAAACCGGATCAGAAATGGTGGTGGCCTGGATCAGGGCAGAGGCAGCAGAGGTGATGAGAAAAGCTAAGCCAGAGCCAATAGATTTGCTGATGGATCCTACATGTGGTGAAATGAAGAAGAGGCAGTGATGAGTACGAGGCTGGGTCCAACGCACAGGAAAGATGGAATCGCCATTAACTGAAATGAAGAGCAGGTTTTGCGGGGAGATCCAGCATTCAGTGTTGGATATGTTTAGCTTGAGATACCAATTGGACTTCCAACCAGAGCTAATCAGATGGTAGCTGGATTGATAAGCCAGGTTAAAAGGAAAGGGCAGGGCTGGATTTGCTGATGTGGGAGTCATCCACAGAATGTGGCTTTAAAAGCCAGGAGATTGGATGAGGTCACAGGATAGGCAAGTGTAAATAGAGGCTGGAAGAGTTCCAACAGTAGAGATCTGGAAAAGGAACCAGCAGACGAGACCAAGGTAGGAAACAAAAACAGGAAAGTTGTAGAGTCCTGGAAGCCAGTGAAGGACGTGTCCAGGGAGGAAGGAGTGGCAGGCTGCTCTGCTGAGAGGAGCATATAGGGCAGGGAAGATGAGTCCTGTTGGTGCCCTTGAGAAGAGCAGTCTCTGGGGAGTGGTAGAGGCAGAAATGTGACCAAAATGGATTAGAAAGAGAATAAGAAGAGAAAAATTGTTTGGCTGACTTTTTAAAAGATTTTGCTATAAAGAAGTGAGACAGGCTGGGTGCAGTGACTCATGCCTGTAATCATAACACTTTGAGAGGCTGAGGTGGGTGGATCACTTGAAACCAGGAATTTGAGACCAGGCTGGGCAATGCAGCAGAACCCCATCTCTATAAAAAATACAAAAATTAGCTGGGCATGGTGGTGTGTGCCTGTAGTCCCAGCTACTTGGGAGGCTGAGGTGGGAGAATGGCTTGAGCCTGGGACATCAAGAATGTAGTGAGCCAAGATCACGGCACTGCATCCCAGCCTGGATGACAGAATGAGACCCTGTGTCAAAAAAAAAAAAAAGGAAGTGAGATAATGAGTAGGTAGAATTTCAGAGTAGGACTGGGTTTGTTTTATTTTTAGAATGCAGCATGTTTGCATGTGGCTTGGAATGGTCCCGCACTGGGAGAATTGTTGGCACAATTTAACAAAGAGAAAATGAATGAAGAAGCTGAGGGTAGGGGTAGGAGTTCATAGAAATTTCTTATGATTCCTTCAGTTTTCTTAGCCAACTAGGAAGCAAGGTCATCTGCTCAGAGTGAAGATGGGTGAGAAGGTGTTGGAAGTTTGGGGTGAAGAGGGGAAAATGCAAAGTAGACTTTGAGCTGAGCAGAGACGGGGTGTACTGGGGAAGCATCGGATGATACGAAACTGCTGTAAGGGCTCACTAGAGAATTAAGTTCACATATGATTGGCAGTTGACTATGGAACTTGAGCTTAGTAAAGCAGTAAAGGACACCAAGGAGAAGAGCAGGCGTTGAAAACATGAATGGGTCCCAGTGGTGTTGAAAGAGCATTGGAACTGGGTTACAGGAGTAAGCTTTGACAATGAGCGCTGGTCTGAAAGGGTTGCAGGGAGTTGGGCTGGTGGAGAGGCTGTGGTTTAGAAAGGCCTGGTGTGCAGCCATGAGGGTGCCAAGGTCAGGGGTGGGCATGGAGAGGGAACGCAGAGAGAACACAAGATCAGTGGGGCCAGGGCAAGTCAAGGAACTAAAGGTGGGAGTTAGAAGGATACACATTTGTTGAGGTCACCAAAAATTAAGACAAAAGATGTGTTAGAGAATCAGTAAACCAAGAGCCAAAATCATTGAGAAATCAGGCAGGGGGGAAGACACAAAATGGAAGTCCATTTCTCTATTAGCTTTGACATTTCCAGATGACTTAAGGATCTTTCTGATGACGCCTGCAAACTGTAGAAGTATAAAATTCAGGCATTTAATAAAGAAACACCATGTTTTTAAATATTAGTCCTCCATGAATGACCAATCTTTCAGTGACAATTAGGAATTGAAACAGTAGTATAGATAATTATTTTGGCTTATTTGTACCTACAGATCCAAATACAAAATGAGAGGAAATTTCTCTAAGGATAATGCTAGTAGATATCACTGAACATTGTACATGTAGTAATAGATTGCTTAAGTGTTTGTTTCTCAGTGCTTCCCATAATTTCTTTGTGGTTCCCTAAAAATCATTTGAAGACATTTTTAGACAGATAAGAGAAAACATGTGCAAAAGAAAGGTCAGATGTTAACGTTGAACTGCTTTCCTTGGCTTGTGTTTGTTCCGACAGAGATTTAGCTCATTGTCATACAAGTCTCGGGAAGAAGACCCCACTCTCACAGAAGAAGAGGTAAGTTTTGTTTCTTCTTGAAAAGAGAAAACTCCTGTAGTAAGGAATAGAGCTTCTCCTCTTGAATAAATGCAATGTAATGTTACCCTTTGAAAGAGCTGAAATATTCTCTACACCTATGTTTGGAGATCAAGACTTGGGTTGTTGGTTTTATAATGGCTCAGAGAGACTGATGGGCAGGTTGTAAGACAAGAAGGATGGCAGGACAAGCAGTCAGCTTAGGAAAGGAAACTGGGCAGGAAAGCAGGGTCAGGGTCAGGAAAAATAGAGAGGGCAGGGGAGGAGAGTGAGAAGAGAGAAACTCCGCATGGGAGCAGTCAGCAGTCAGGAAGACCATATCAGAAGGAAATGAATTGTGGGTTGGAAAATTCGGGAAATTAGAACAGGTGGGTGTAGGGAATTTGCTCCTGCCTGGGAGACAGAAAGAGGAGGTCTCTGTGCGGAGGCTGAGAGCAGAAAACTTCAGTAAGTACCATTCCTCGCTGGAGCTAGGGTCAGACATAGCAGCCAACAAGAGCAGATCACATATTCCCAAGCATCAGGGAGCAAAATCCACAGGTTAGATTTTCAGTGAAGTGTTAAAGTTGTTAAAGCCAGTAAATGTATATGTATGTGTATATGTTAAACAGTTCAGTCTGAAACTGAGATCTGAGCTTTAAGTACTGTTATCCCAATTTAACAGAATGTTGTGGAAATGATTGATTATAAAAAGAAGAGAAACAGGGAAAAGGAAGAGAGTAACTTATGAGACTGTAGCAACAATTTACAGACTGAGGAAAGAAGATGAAAGTTTTAAAGAGAAAAATTGATAAGCTAAATAGCAAGGAGACTGAAAGAGAAACCTGTATACAAAATAAAAATAGTACTTATAGAAAACAAATAATCAAAAGGAATATTAGAAGACTCAAGAAGCTTTCATAAAAGTTGAAATGTACAGTGAGATCCTCTACACACTAGGTTCATTCCCAGAGTCAATATTATTTTGCAAGTTAATGAATGAGGACAAAGGCCAAGAAGACCAAGCACCCTTACAAAGAGTGAGGGGCATTAATGGCAGGGACCATGGGGAAGAAAGTTGAGGAGAGAGGCAAACGGTGGTGAGGGGCTGACTCTCATTGTTGCGATCTAGGTCAAGGTGCGTTTGTCCTCCTTGATGTTACCTTTGAAAGTGATGAATAAACTGGCGTGCCGTCTCCCCTCACCGCTGTCATCCACTGTTTACCCTTTTATAATCTGTCCATATATAATTTTTGGCTTGGACCACCATTTAGAGAATAAATTCTGTGTTTGCACTTCGTTATAAACAGCAGTGAATTTTTTTTATTCTCCTTAAATTCAAAGAAATTTCTTTGAATTTTAATTCTTCTATTTTGAGAGAAGTTTTTTAAATTAAAATCTCTAAGGTGAGAATGTTAATAATTTAATATTCATTAGGATAGTCAGACCCACATGGCAAGAGTTTTCCAAAGACTGTTTTTCTGAACTGTTACCCTTGGATCACGAAGGCCTAACCAAAGTGAGCCAGCCACCAGCCTGTATTGAAAAGTTCTCATGCAAATGACCAGTTAGCATGTGGCAAACCTGTCTTAAGAAGCTTTTGAGGCCGGCTGGAAACTTCACCTGCAGTATGTGAGAAAAGTGAAAGCAGAAAAATGTCCCTTGGCACTTGGGAAGCCAAGCACCTGTCAGGAAGCGTGTTCATGTATATCCTGGGTATTTGAATGAATCAAATCACTGTGTTAAAAATAAACACAGGTATAATAATGAAGGATATTTTTACTTATTTCCAACCATGATTTTTCACAATAAAATAATACTCCCCAAAAGTCTCCTAATCAATACATTTAACCTTCACAATGAATGAAATCTCTGTTGATATCAGAGGTGATACAGTATTTATTAGTGAGACTGGGAGGGTGTGCTTGGAAAGCCACTGGCTCTTACCATAGGAAATGGTATTCTGTAAGTTGTCATTTCTGACTTGGCTGGTTGCAAGCAAGAATGAATTTTCCCACTGAAGAAAACTAGATCTGGACTGTCAATGTCTGTTTACCCAATAATATGCAACTAAATTAAAAAATAATGGCCAGGCGTGGTGGTGGCTCATGCCTGTAATCCCAACACTTTGGGAGGCCGAGGTGGGCAGATCACCTGAGGTCAGGAGTTCAAGACCAGCCTGGCCAACATGGTGAAACTCCATCTCTACTAAAAATATAAAAATTAGCCAGGCGTGGTGGCAGGTGCCTGTAGTCCCATCTTCTCGGGAGGCTGAGGCAAGAGAATCTCTTGAACCTGTGAGGTGGAGGTTGCAGTGAGCCGAGATCCACCATTGCACTCCGGCCTGGGAGAAAAGAGGGAGACTTCATCTCAGAATAATAATAACAATAATAATAGGAATACCCTTTCAAATATATGTGTGCCACCAATGAGCATCCAGCCACTGCTCTTGGAGACCCTGTGATGCAGGAAGCGTGTAGTAGTCTAATTCAGTGGCGCTCACACTTTACTGGCCCTCAGAATCAGCACTGGTTGCTGGGCCCCAGCCCCAAGGTTCTGATTTGGGGGCTCTGGGGTGAGGCCTGAGAATTTCCCTTTCTAACAGATTCCCAGCTCCTGCTGCTGCTGGTTTACAGCCTACACTTTGAGAACCACTGGTCTACTATGTGTTTTCCATCCTTTTTTGTAAAGCAGTGGAGCCCTTTTTTAGGCAAAATATCATTCTGATGTAGAAGTGAAATAAAACAATGCTGTGGTCAGGTCCCCAGAGGCTTGAGGAGCTTCCCACTCCGCCTCTCCTCAAATTCCTCTGCAGACCCAAGAGAACTGAGTTTTCATGGAATCAAGGGAATATGACTGATCTAGTTAACACAGTTGAAGATAATGTGTATAATTATTCTCTAGTAATGTGCTCCATAATTAGTACGGATAAGAAAGAACAAATCTTTAAGGAGCACACACACACAGAAGCCCAGTAGTGCTCAGTATGTAGCTTGTCACTAAAAAGGGGAAGAGGGAGTCACAGCTGGAAGTTTATTCAACCCTCCCTTTGTTTCCTAGATCTCAGCCATGTACTCATCGGTGAATAAACCTGGACAGTTAGTGAATAAATTGGGACAGTCGCTTACGGTGCCAGAGTCCACCTACACCTCCATTCAAGGGGCCCCTCAGAGGTCACCTTCCTCCTGTAATGATCTCTATGCTACTGTTAAAGACTTCGAAAAAACTTCAAACAGCACACTTCCACCAGCAGGGAGGCCCGGCGAGGAGCCAGAGCCTGATTATGAAGCGATACAGACTCTCAACAGAGAGGAAGAAAAGGCCACCTTGGGGACCAATGGCCACCACAGTCTCGTCCCAAAGGAAAACGACTATGAGAGCATTAGTGACTTGCAGCAAGGCAGAGATGTCACCAGGCTCTAGCAACCCAGAAGACAGCCCTGGGTAGCCTGTGACGATCAGCATCTGGGGATGTTTCTTCCATGAAAGAGAAGAAGTGACACAGACCTATACTTCACATGCTGCTTTAGTCACCTGAAGCTGGTTGGAGAGGCCCTGACTGTTCTCCCAGTTGTTCAGTTTCTGAGACAGAGAGGTACGGACCAGGTCCGCCTGAGTGTGCCCCTTCCTGCCAGACGGACAGGCACGCCCAAGCATATCTCCCTCCTGCACCTTCACTCCCACAAAAGATCCCAGCTGTCAGTGGTCTCATCCTATTAGTGAGGAAAGCCAGGCTGTATGGAAAAACTGCACTCTCCAAGGACCACAACGCCCCCCGCCTAATGTACTGCCACTTGGAAGAGCCAGGTTTTTCCCCTCTTTCCTTTTCTCTGTCTGCTATTGACTTTAAAATGTAAAGCTTTTCCCCCTCAAAATGTCCAGATTTCTATGGTTCATTCCAAGGAAATTTTCACACAAGGCTTGGCCTTTGCCTTCAATGGAGGTGTCTTAGGATGGCAACAAACTGTGGGTGCAGCTTTCTGCCCAGCTCACCAGTCCTGGGGATCTGGACCCTGCAGGTGAATGGGACTGGGGAGGGACGTCCCTGGAGTCTCTTCCATCTTTGTTTCTTCTTATTTTGGCACTCTCTATCAGCAGCCTCTCCCCAAAGTACTTGAAGTCAGTTTTAGATGCTTTATTTTATTTTTCTAGTCAAAAACGTTTTCCCCCCAATGTTTGAAAACTCATCCAAGCCTTTTCAGTATTTTCCATGAGTATTGTGGTACTTCTGTACAGGTTTAAGCCCAGAGCTCATTCCTTCAAAACAGAGAGCCTTAATCTTTATGTTGGGACACAGACCACATATTTGGACAGCAGCCATACATCCATCTCTGAAGGGCTGTGGACATGAATGTGTGTTTCCCATGGTCTCCGCTGCCCACACTAACAGTGTGGCATCTTATAAGTTAACTGTTATCCTAAGGTCATCTAAGATTAAAATGTAAACATTTATTTTTGTTATGTGAGTTTATAAGATGTTTTATGTTTAATGCCTACTTTCTCAAAAGTGCCAGAAAAAATGTATATTAACTATTTTGATTTTAGGTACAATGATTTATACTCTCCTTTTTAAAAGATATCATAAAGCACATAAGTTAGGTCATTACAAGGAGCTGTTATCTTTTTTCTTATCAGATGTTTAAAACATTGATGGTTTTTAAAGACACCTTTTTAAATGGTACTTGGAGCTCCTGATCTAAATTACCTAGACCCCTAGAGAAATAAATGGAATAGACATAAATAATCATTTTCAGTGGCTTATGGTGGGCAATATTGAATTATTTGAAACGGTAAAAATGGAAAGAAGAACAAAATATATGATCAGAGGTGGCTGTGAATTATAAATCTCATAAAAGTGTCATAATTCCATTAAGGTTTAATTACATTTTTTCAGAAAACAGTGATGAATTCTGCAGTCCAGTGCTTACCTGTGCAAATCGTCTATTGGAATCTTTTCCTTATATTTTACAAACATCACTGGCTGAAATAACTCAGATTAAGAGCTCAGCCTGGTTTGAATCTAATCATCTCTTTAGATCTTATCTTATAAGGCCAGCATTAGGAAACTTGTTCACTTTTCATTTTCAAAGGAGCCTAGTTGAAGTGCTATTATGAGTGTGGGCTATGGAAAGGGAGATTTTCCTACACAGATAAAGAAAAAAAATGAGGAAATTACTTCATCCCATTGTGACACCTGTGACTTTTTGGATTTAATAATCTAGCTGTTTTTCTTCTTTATGACAAAGCATATAATTGGGAGGATGAAGAGTCTTAAAAATTGTAGAGACCAGCTCATTGGAATGTTTTTACATCCCTGTATTCATGGCTTGACTTTGTGACTGCTCTGCGTTGCACTTCTGACATTGTGAAGTGAGCTATGTTGGGGTCAACTGGCTGGCTGGCATTATTTTTCAATCATCTTGGTCTCTCCCACGAAGATATCATGTGCATAAGCACAATCATCATTGATTAGAAGATCATGGCAGAATACCCTTAGATTAGAGAGAAGTTTGTACCTTGCATTTGCCTGAATTCCAGTCTCTGCTTTTTGCCAAGCACTGCTTTTTGACTGGTGATTTTCACTCCTTTGTATTAATGACTTTGACCCAGCAATCTCTCACGTGACTGGGTTCTATAGTACATAGTAACAGCCAAGTCATGTTACACACCTAGCACTGTGCATGCTGTAATGACATCCTCTATAGGCACCTTACAGCTCAAAAATTTTGTTTCATATCATGCCTTACTTATCACCAGGAAGGTGGGTATGATCTCTAAAGTAAAAAAACTCTTTTAATAGAAAGCTCATAAATAATTATGTCACTTTACAATTTCATTACCAAAATTTCACCCAGAAGTTTTCAAATATTAGTTCTGCAATGTGGCCAAATATACACTGAAATACACCTTTTAATTTGAGAACGAGTGGTTAGAATAAGTTGTGATATAAGCATTTTCAGTGGACTTTTAAAGGAACTCTGTAAGGCCCTCCAGCAAAAACGATAAAAGAATAACTGTAGCACAGGCCATGAGGGTTGCGGGAGAGAGAAGCAGAGTAAGCCTTAGTAAGATTGCTCAGCTCTTTGGAACACCAGCTATTTTATTGGAGTATATTTACTTCAATATATAAACTTCATATAAATGGTGAGGCACCATCACCGTTTGGACTGTGTAGTATAGTTTTTCATAAATTTCATCACATTTGCTTTTTTCAGAATCTGTGCTTAGATCTTTGAGTTGGACAAAAGCCTATGGCTTCTTTAAAAAAGTTTCATCTTGAGCTAATACTACAGTTTAAATAAAATGTATGAAAGGTAGTTGTCAAAACAATATATTTAAAATTCTATCTTGACATCCATTTTTACAAACAATGGTAATAGGTTATGTGAAATTTAAAAATAAATTTTAGGATATGTTTTTATCATAAGTAAGAATTATAAATCTATCTCAGTTAAAAGTAGAATCTTTGTTTTTATTGAGGTATTTTGAAAGCTTAGAAACATTTTGTATGCTGTTTTTTGGTATTTCTTAAGTATAGTCAGCAGGAAACGGTAACCTGTTTTATGTGAAATTTTTTAATTTGTCAAAATTTTTTAGTATGTCTACTGAAGTAGTTTCAATATCCTGTCTGTATCCTAGGCAGATAACTACACAAGAACAAAATGCTATATAGAAAAGAAAACGTTTGAGGAAATCTTAAATTCTATAAGAAAGCAATTCTTACAAGAATGTTGGCTACATATGTTTTTTCTGTCCTGAATAAATTACATAATTATGTCTGCTAAAGCTTTTGAAGCTACCACTATTCTTTGTGGGAAAAAGGCTAATTACTGATTTTTCAGCCCTCAAAATCCCAGAGTTAATTCTAATTGGGTACTAAATTAACAATAAGTAGTTAACACAGATAACTAAAATTTAACCACATTATGTCACTATATATATTTCTCTTGATTTTTGTTTTGCCAATTACAGCATTTACTTACCTTAACCAGTAACAAACTACACACACACACACACACACACACATATACACATATACATATATGTGTGTGTATAACTTGGCTCTGACACAATTCTGGTGCTAAATTAGGATATGTTCTATTATGTATTTTGAATGTTTATCCTGCTGGTATGATGAACTTTTGTCAGAAAAGCAGAATTGGAAGGAACAGTTTTTAAATCATTTTCATTTGGTAATTATGGGAAGATCTTAAGTTGCTCTCATTTAATTTTTCCAATTAATACATTTAGATGTTAAATTGCATCCATAATTCCCTTGGCTGAAAAACAGTGGTATTTTAAGACTATTTTGTTATATATGTGACTGACTTCTGACTCAACATAAGAGGAGGAAATGTAAAGAGGGTACTTCTCAGATAAGTGTTTGAGAAGGATTTGGCCTAAAGAGAGGGGTAGCCTTGAGCCAGGATGAAGCCAGGGCAAGGTAACTCCCAAGGAGCAGTAGCACAAGTCGGTCACCCGTGGCATCCTGTTTCATTCCCTTTTAAAACTGAGAGCTTTTACAGGCAGTGTGAAACATCAGCAGGCAGCAATGTCATATAGGATGTGCACAAAAGCTGGTCTGATACCGTGGCTATAATTACAGAGCTTTAGTTCAATTAGGATCTTGAATTCAGATTTTGTAAATGAGCAGATTACCTTTTTTTTTAGTGCTCCTTATAATAGTTAATATGAGTCCATGCAATCTTGTGATGCCATTCTTCTGAAGCTATTGATTTACGGTACCCAGCCAGCTTAGCTTTGGCTGCTGGAAGCACAGTAGGTACTGATGGTTATTTCCTGGAAATCTTGACAGGCTTATTGTACCATGTAATGGGGAAAAGTTGAAGTGTAGTGTTTGGTGTTAATAAGCGACTGATGTGAAAATAGGAGCATGTGTCTATAATATCAAATATGGCTATATTTGCAGTGAAATCGAAATTCCTTATTCTGCGGTACTATTTCCTTGCCCTGTGTTGTATCTTTTCTTAAGCACATTTTTCCTGACAGTGGCTTTAGGCAAGTTGAACACACTTAGACTCAAAGTGTTTAACTTAAAGAGATCAGTCCAGAAACCATGATGAATTAGAATCTTTATCTAGAACTACCAAATTAAAATTTAAAATCATAGTCCAGAAGAGAACAACCATTCATGTTTGTTTGCATTATCCTAGTGCTCATTTTTAGGTCTGTGTTTACATCCCGTCTCTACTATTTGTGAGGTATGTCATTATTTTCTTCAAGTTTTTCTTTGACTTAACTGAAAAATAATATTCCAAATTCTTAATGTAACATGAAAAGAGAAATACAATTTTTGTTTAAAAGACAGTTTTAAAAAAGCATTAAATTCCGTAATCATTCCTCCTAATGCAGGAAGATTTTTTTTGGCTTGCCAGTTATATACTGTGGGTATTCTGTTCACTGTGCTGTGCTTCGGTTGCCTCATATCACCTTGCATAATCATGTATGACAGAGGTTGCTGATTGTCATTTATCGATGACTGTATGTTTCATTGGCAGCAGTAAAATGTTTTCATGTTGTTACCTTTTAAATAATTGTGTTGTATTAACATGCCTCATATTTTCTGGGAAAACTTGAAATATAGCTAAAAAAAGGTCTGTTAAAAATAGGAATTGGCATTTCATTATTAATACATTTTTTCCTCATAAAAAGTTATACAAAAAGTGACATATTGTCTATTACATGGGCCCAATCAGTATTAAAGTACTCCCCTTACTCAAAAATGTTAAAAAAAAATAATTCATGACCACTTAGTAGCATTTTCATTCATTGTTTCAAAAGGTCTTTGTAATGGCCAAATTGTCCAATCCACAAAAGAGTGAGAAAGTTGTTTTCAGTACTGGGAATTTGTAAACCTTAGTTTTAAGTCCAAAAATATCTCTTATTAGCTTAAACATTTTTGTGATTACTGTTCCGTCCCCAGCTCTAGTCCTTTGAAGGAGTAAGTCTAAAGAATTAGGCCATGAAGTCACTATTTCCTCTCACCTCGGTTTGCCTCCTGGTACTTAGCTGGACTGTCACTTTGTATAGCAATACCCCTGGCTGGGTCTCTTCTTCACTTAGCCTTCTGAGTCTACGATTCACAGGACGTGCCATTATGTCTTTCCAGGACTGATCACCATGCTGCCATATCACAGGCTCTGCCAGCTGGTATAGAACCATGCCTCATCACAGCTGCCAGGATGAGGCCACAGGTCCACCTAGGGCGGCAGGTGCTACTGCTATTTGTCATGGGTTTTGCTAAAACATGTATACTGTTGCTCACCTCTTTCATAAGAATGGTTCACACTGAGGGGCCATGGAAAAGAACTTTTAAAAAATATGTGGTGGAATCAAACTCACAAAGGCAGAAATGTGAGTGCCATGCTCTATCCAAGTAAGCTCAGTGTCCCTGCAGTGCTTTGTATCTGGCCTGGGTCTCCTCAAGTTCCAGTGAAGCAGCAGCCCCCACTGTCCAGCATGTGGAAGGTAGATCCTTATGACAACAGCAGACCTGCAGTTACCAGGGAAGAAAACAGAAGCTGAGGATTGTGAAGGGGAAGAAATCCTTCTCATAAAAAGTAATCATTTTTAGGCCAGATGCAGCAGCTCATGCCTGTAATCACAGCACTTTTAGAGGCCAAGGCAGGTGGATCACTTGAGGTCAAGAGTTCGAGACCAGCCTGGCCAACATGATGAAACCCCATCTCTAGTAAAAATATTTAAAAAATTAGCCAGGCATGGTGGCACGTGCCTGTAGTTC